TAAAATATATTGAGACAAAAATTATATATATATGCATGGGGTCCACTGTACTGGTCACGTTCACTCGTCGTCCGGTGGTGGTTGCTTCGTCCTAGAAAGTTAGGAATCTCTACGATGGGGATTTCTCTTCTTTATCAACCTTCCCACGTTTCTTGCCACTTCTTGAGCAGCACTTACACTCTCCCACTTTCCTATCTCTGCGTTCGGTCACCTGACCCAATAATTTGCCCGTTTCTTGCCACTTCTTGAGCAGCACTCACACTCTCCCACTTTCCAATTTGGAAACAAAGCAGCTACATTTGCCATTCTTCCCGGCAAGGCTTCCAGTTCCTGCTAAGAGATTCCCAAGAATGGGTAGCAGGTACGTAGCTAGTGCAGCCGCTGGCGAGCCGCCGGCGAAGGCACTCCGGCGTCTCCTTGAGTCACCTGGGATTCATCAAGGTCCCGTCTGCCATGATGCTCTCAGCGCTAAGCTCATAGAACGAGCCGGCTTCCCGTTGGCCTTCATGGGCGGTAGGTGTTTGTTCCGTGGCCTCATAGGCGCTTCTTCTATACCTTTGTTCTAAGACAGGGTGTAGAATCGAATTCGATGATCAAAATGTTAACTTGATGCAAGGGTATTAGTTTCCTTTTGATTGATTTTCATTTCTTGTCGAAAAACTGGATGTTGTAATATACTGAAATGGCAAATGAAATGGCTTTGTAAATTGGTATTACTGATCAATTACTTGCAAACTGATCGAGTGGCCGCATCTCTGATGTGATTGATTTTTGGTTCTATATGGATGCGATTCTGTTATTGAAAATCAATAAAGTTAACCGTCTCTTATTTGCTTATGCTTTTTTCCTTTGTTTTCTGCTGTAACCATAGGGAGTCGGCTTGGAATTTACCTAGTTTCAATCTCTTCACAGTAATCTAGAATTATTCATGAGTTTAAACTTTTGTATTCTTGTTCTATAACAAAAGTGGACTTTGCATAATCACTTCTTTGGTGATGTTTGCACTTAGAAAAGTATCTGGTTATTTTCAGGATTTGCGGTTTCAGCTGCGCGGTTAGGTTTGCCAGATGTTGGGCTTATTTCCTATGGAGAAGTGCTTGATCAAGGATATCAGATCACACAAGCTGTATCAATTCCTGTGGTTGGAGATGGAGACAATGGGTATGGGAATCATATGAATATCAAGAGAACTGTGAAAGGCTTCATTAGAGCAGGATTTGCAGGGATCCTTCTTGAAGACCAGGTAACTGCTTAATTAGTTAACTGAAAGCTAACATTAAATTTTCCCAAAAAAAAGGCTAACATCATTACGCTTGCTTTGCAGACGAAACAGCATGGGCCAAATG